TCTATCTATCTATCATCTATCTATCTATCATCTATCTATCTATATCTATCTATCATCTATCTATCTATCATCTATCTATCTATATCTATCTATCATCTATCTATCTATCAATCTATCTATCTATCTATCTATCTATCTATCTATCTATCATCTATCTATCATCTATCTATCTATCTATCTATCTATCTATCTATCCATCCATCTATCTATCTATCTATCATCTATCTATCTATCTATCTATCTATCATCTATCATCTATGTGTGTGTTAAGATGTACAAGTTTTCACACTAGTCTCCAAAGTGACTATGTTGTTTAGTTTTAGCTTAATATATAAGCCCTGCTTTCCTATTAAAATAATAAATAAGGTGGCTTACAATAAGACATAATGCAATATAACAACACTATAAAATTACAAATGCAATTGTTCCACCCCCAAAAGGACTATGCCTTTCTCTCCAGTAACTGAGATTATCACCAACTATGCTAACTATGCAAAAGAAAAACCTTGATAAAGGTTAGATTAAACACTTCAACTTGAATTTTGAACAAGTTGTCTTAGTCTTTGACCAAATAATTATGCTAAGACACATTCTCTCTTTCCTTCTCTTTTAAAAGTAGTTTGTACAAGAATTTAGCATCTGCATGCCAGTTTTCAGTTCACTTTGGAAAAGTATTGAATGTGCTGGACTTCTAAAATGAGTTGCTCAAGACTAGTGAATAGAATTCTAAATAACCACCATTATAACTGCAGTATGAAAATATATCTGAGCACACGGTCTCTGAAACACAAAAGGGTTCTTGAAATTGCAATGGACAGATCAGATAAGTTTCATCTTGAGATAATCAAAAAAGAAAATCAAGCTAGCACACTCCTGATACTCCTTTCCTGACCCATAATCAAGAATGTGATCATGGACTACAAAGCATTAGTTGAGAGAGAGATCCAAACCTGATTTATAATGTTCTTCCCTCAAAATGATTATCCTTCTTTCTTTTGTCACAGCAATAGTCTGGCTGGGCTTTGTTTCTTTTAGGTATCTATTTCATGGTGCCAGGAGACTTCTGTTATGATTGAGTCAACTCTAGACCCATTGAGGCAGTTAATCCTTCATGCAATGCCATGTTTAAATAGGGCAGGAGTGGGGTGCCATTGCTTGGTGCTTAGGCTCCTCAGCTCCTGCCGGCCATTTTGACAGGAGGGTGAGGCCGCCTACCTGTCAGTCACCTGGTGTCATCATGATACCAGGTGAAACATTTTCCTTTGCCCTCTTGGTTTGAAATCAAACCATGCTAGCAAAGGTTCAGGACTTTTCAAGTGCTGGCAGTCAGCTGATTGTTGGTACAGTGGTACCTCTGGTTACGAACTTAATTCGTTCCAGAGGTCCGTTCTTAACCTGAAACCGTTCTTAACCTGAGGTACCACTTTAGCTAATGGGGCCTCCTGCTGCCGCCACCGCGTGATTTCTGTTCTCATCCTGAGGCAAAGTTCTTAATCCAAGGTATTACTTCCAGGTTAGCGGAGTCTGTAACCTGAGGTGTTTGTAACCCGAGGTACCACTGTACTTGCAAAGCCTAGTGACAAGAGCTGATGCTAACCGATTTTCAGAAAATGATCTTTCATGATTTTTCCTATTCTTATCAAATAACTACATGATGTTCCTTCAACATTTGGTGAGGCTGTTTGTTGAACAGGAGTAGGCTTGCGTTTGTGGATCAGTTTGGACTTTGGCACAGATCTGTATCCTGCTGTCCGCAAAAACAATGTAGAATTGTGCAGCTGACCAGCTGGTTCCCAAGCTACTAAAATATTTAGAAAAGAGAAGGAAATCACATCCAGTGGAAAAGATTACTTTCTATTTTTTCCTTCTTCTGGTGGTGAGGATAAAGAAGCATTGCAGAAGCCCTTCTCACACACTCCAAGGAAGGATGAAGGGTTTGCAAGCTATAGATAAGGTTATCACCCTCGACAAAGCTCACAGCCTGCCACATTGCGCATGATGGTTCAGTGACAGAAGTAAGATGTGACAACGGTCAGAGGGACACAAGGACTGAAGTGCAACATTTCTGCATGGACAGCATTATAGCAAATTCTATCAGATGATTCAGAACACTTTTCTGTATAGAAAAGCTTCATTGGTGGATGTCCAGCCATGCTTGATAGAGGCTTTGTAGCCTAGGATCTTCTTCGTTTCCTGAGGAAACCATGGCAGCAGCCCACGGTGCTCCATGCCAATATGAACAGGGGGCAAAGAAAATATTTCTTGCATTGCAGGGGGTTGGACTAGATGACCCTCGGGGTCCCTTCCTGCAATACAATTCTATGATGACCAAAAGTCGCGATAATGAATCATTTCTTCCTTTCGTCTGATGAGCACTGCTTTCCATAGTGGTCATGGCAGGCATCTAGGAGAGAAAGCACATTTGCCCCACCAGAAGAAAACCTACACAAAGACTCTAAAATGATGCAGCAGAAGTCAGCTTCCTGAGAAGAGGGAAAGAGACTTGCCTGCCCCCACCCTCAGTCATTCCCAGCTGAGCAACTAGCCAGGCCATGGCTTTAAGAACAGCAGAAGCAGCTGGGAAGGGAGAAGAGGAGTTGGGGGGTGTAGTTTTATAAGTTGTGTGTCTTGGTTTCTCACTTTGATCCTTTTAAGCCCTTTTCGCCTTGAGGAGGAGGTGGGGTCGCGGGCTTCAAGGCCCCTCCATGTGTGCAGGGGGTGGGAGGCCGGCCCCTGGCGACTGGATGATTCCCGGCTGCGTCACCCCCTAGCCGGCCAATCGGGTTGGTCCGGGGGTGTGGCCTGCCCCTCTTTTCTGCCTTCCAACTGTTCGGGTCCCCCCCTTTAAGGTTTTCTTTTCTTTGACCTTGCTATGGACTTTGGTTGGTTGCCGTTGAGGGGCCTGGTAGGAATTTTTCCACTTAGCAAATTGGCACCAGCCACTTGGTTTTCGCCTACCTCATAGCACATTGTCACAACTTTCTGTATATTGGCGGTTAGGCATTGGAATAGTTCTGTAGATGGAAAGAGGGGAAGTAGCGCCATCACCTGTCCCGCATATTGAAGGGTAGTCCGTTAAAGGATTCCGGGGGGCGTGGCCCTGTCCGAAGCCTAGGGAGGTTAGGGCCTAAGGCATACCACCTATCGGTGACTCCGGGGGAGTTCTTAGTTGATGTGCATCAGCAGGACTCCCCCTACTGGTGGATAACCCTTCCAGCAGATGGGTTGGAGTCAGATATAGTCGGTTAGGTCCAATGCCTAAGCCAATACCGCTCACCTGTAACCAATAAAGTTGTGGCCTTTTTTAGCCCATTAACCTTAATAATTGTGTCATGCGTCATTATTTCTACCGGGGTGGGGGTGGGGGTGGGAACTCGCCACGCAACATGGTTTTTGTATGTACAGTGGTACCTCAGATTACATACGCTTCAGGTTACAGATGCTTCAGGTTACAGACTCCGTTAACCCTGAAACAGTACCCCGGGTCAAGGACTTTGCTTCAGGATGAGAACAAAAATTGTGCTCCAGCGCTGCGGCAGCAGGAGGCCCCATTAGCTAAAGTGGTGCTTCAGGTTAAGAACAGTTTCGGGTTAAGAATGGCCTAGGTGCCCCCTATCGGTGACTCTCGGGGAGCTCCTTTAGTGTGTATTTTAAATATCCTAGTTTGGGAGTTAATTTTATCATGTACTATTGTATTTTAAAAGATGATTGAATATTACTTTATTTAATAGAAGTCGTTCCATTTTTAAAGTTATGTTTATTATGACTTTTTGCGTTGGATCAAATTATTATTGGATGTGTGTTCTTTTTTGTATATTTTGTTGCTGTAGACCGCCTTGTGTATAGTAATGCAGAAAGGTCACGTACAAATTAAAAGTGAAATGAATTGACAGTGTCTGGAAGATAGGTCACAACAGCAGCCAGCGAATGAGGGGTCAAACAATGAGGCAGTCTTGTACTGGTGTTGAACTGCCCTGGACAGGCTTGTGCAGATATGGGGGTGTATAAAAACATAGACCAAAAAGCTGCGAGTCCATTCAGGAAGGCCCTATCCCATGAGACTAGGGGCCCTGCAGGATTTAACCTCCTTCCACAGGGCCTGTAAGACAGAGCTATTCTGCCTGGCTTTCAATTTGAATTTAGCCCTGATTTTTATTCCCCTCCCCTCCCTCCCCCTCCCCTTTTATGAAGATTATACGCTCTGGGACCCCACAGCTAATTCTCCCCTGGCCTCCTCGCTGGTCCAAATAGGACTAATTTAGCCAGCTAGCTCTGTTGACCATCTAATGTTATTGGATGGATTTTCCCCTAAATTGATTTAGAATTTAGAATTTATTGTTATTCACGCTTTTATACTGTATTTATTTATTTATTTATTTATTTATTAAAAATAAATTTTATTAATTTTCTAGACACATAAAAAACAAACAATACACAAAAACAAAACATACAAACATATAAACATGTATAATTCATAATCTTATTTTCATACACCTTACTTCCCGGACTTCCCCATACCTCCCCTTTTCTGCATCCTTGTTTTACATTTCTTCAGCAACTGTATTTTATGCTGTTTTTGTTGTATCACAATTAAGTGTTTTAAATTTGTTGTTAGCCGTCCTGAGCCCGGTTTTCTGAACCGGGAAGGGCGACGTATAAATAAATAAATATTATTATTATTATTATTCACAAGGATGAATATCTGCTGAGACTGACTTCGATTGGATAGTTTGAGTTTGAGGAGGGAAATTTAAAATATACTTTTGTCGACTGGGGGGGGGGCGGGAACATTGGGAGCTAGAGCATTCCTGAGCTGGGTGTCAATCTGGTCCTTGAATGGAGTAAGGAAGAGCCTCAAAGACCTGGGAACTGCTTTGCCCTCAGAGTGAGTGTGCATGCATGTGTGCGCATGTATGTGGGGTGGGAGTCTGTGGTCTAACCCATTACTGTGCCATGCAGCTATTTTATCTAATACTGTGAATGTCTTCTTTTTCAAGCAGATACCAATTTTGTCCTGGGCAATGCCCAGATAGTGGATTGGCCCATTGTGTACAGCAATGATGGATTTTGCAAGCTCTCGGGATACCACAGAGCAGAAGTTATGCAAAAAAGCAGCACCTGCAGGTATTTCAAGGCAGATTTGCTTTCCATTCGGTAACTTGCAAATGTTGCTTTGTTCTTGCTCGGGTTGAATGAAAACAATCTGATCAGCCCACTGTTCAGTTTACTCTTCCCCAGGCTGTAGAAACCACAGCTGCATTTTGCGGCTGAGAGAGCAGGACTTATTCAGGAGGGAGCTTTTAGGGTAGGGATGAGGAACCTGTAGACCTTTAAATGTTGCAGGGCTCCATCTCCCAGTCACCCCTGCTTTCATGGCGAAAAGCCAGAGGTGATGGGAGTTGTAGTTTAACAGCATCTGGAGGGCCCCAGGTTCCTCATCCCTTCGAGAGTGTTAGATAATGTGCAGGTTCATCATGTTTGGCACCAGTAAACCACACAGGAAGGATACCAAACATGAAACTAGCAAGATCAAAATAGTCGTGGCACTTCTGTATTCTCTCCTTCTTTTAAGGTACAGTCATACCTCGGGATAAATGTGCTTCAAGTTAAGTATTTTCGGGTTGCGCTCAACGGCAACCCAGAAGTAATGGAGCATGTTACTTCTGGGTTTTGCCACGCGCGCATGCACAGACGCTCAAAATGATGTCACGTGCATGTGTAGAAGTGACGAAATGCGACCCGTGCAGGCGCAGACGCGCGGATGCGGGTTGCGTTCGCTTCAGGATGCAAACGGGGCTCTGGAACGGATCCCGTTCGCATCCCAAGGTACCACTGTACTTAGCCAGAAAATTTAAAAAAAATCCATTTTGTACTCACAGCAATCTTTTGGGTACGTTAGTTTGAGAGGCCTTGCCTCACCCAAGGTTGCCTAGATAACTAAACTGGAATCTGCACCCAGGTTTCCCTTGTCAAAGTCCAAAATTTCTCTTACTACACTGGTGGCCTTCAAGTCATGACCCATGCTCTCCATGCTCTAAGGTAATTTGAAACATTGTCATGCTGGCATTTTTGTGTGCAAACAACTTGGGATGAATGGTCGACAAACAGCCATCTAGGAACAAGGCTGGCTCCTGTCTGAAAACTACAATTCCCAGGGTTAATAACATAGGAAAAAACATCTAGACCAATGGCTCATTTAGTCCAGGATCCGGATCTCACAGTGGCCAACCAGATGCCTATGGAACATCCTTAAGCAGAACCTGTGCACTCTTACATCCTGTGGTTTCCAGCATCTGGTGTTCAGGAACATGGCTACTGCCAATGACTAGGCAGAACATAGTTGTCATGGCTAGTAGCCATTGATAGCCTTTTCCCGGTTTTCTGAGAAGAAAAATGTTTAAAATGTGCAGGTACACACACACACATGTACAGAGGGAGAGAGAAATGGTGCAACAAAAAGAAGAGAATATAGTGCTGCACAGTTGAGGAATGGTGGGAGCTTCCCCCTCTCCCTGCTCCTGATCAGGATCCTGAATCTTCCCAGGAGCAGTGGGACAGTATAGATTTGGAACTGCGGTTAGCAGAGGGACATAGTTCAGAAGACAAAAGTTTGGAGGAACGGGGGGGGGGGAGTGAACAGCTAGGAGAAGAAGAAGAGGGAGAGAGAGAGAGAGAGAGAGAGAGAGAGAGAGAGTTAACAGACTCTGGTTCGCTGAAAAGTGTCCAGCCGTCCAGTCCAAGCTCAAGGAGATTAGATAGGGTAGCTGCACAGAAGGCACGGTGGTTGCGAGATCAGGTTGCAAGAGGCGGCAGTGACTAAGGGGGAAGTGGGTGGAAACCTTAATTGGAAGCACCTTTACTCCAAGATGGACTCTTTGTTCTTGAGCTGGGATCATTAAAATCTCTTTAAATGGTAAGAGACAATTTTTTGCTTTGTTCTGCTTATCCACGGCCAAAGGGAGGGAGGAAGCCACTCTCCCCAAGCCTGACATATAGTAAGCTGATTTTTTTAAAATAAAAAAGTCCAAATGCCCACATGTTTCAAACAAAAGTCTCTTCTTCATGGGAATAGTTAGTGTCAACAAACAAGCCCCAGTGGCTAAGTATGCAAATCCTACTGAGAGTACCCTAATAACCATTAATACATTTTTGTAAATGTCTTGTTGTGTCACTATGCCTTGCCTGTGACTGCCTTCTATCTTACTCTGAACGTCTTTCCACTTTCCCTGCAGTTTTATGTACGGAGAGCTGACTGACAAAGACACCATAGATAAAGTTCGACAGACGTTTGAGAACTACGAGATGAACTCCTTTGAAATCTTGATGTACAAGAAGAACAGTAAGTCAGGTTTTTCACTCACCTTTCAACAGTGCCACGTTGAAACCAGAAATGCAGGCAGGAGAGCAGATCATGAGATGTGGTTTAACAAGACATCATCGCTGCTACAGGAATGGCACTGGGAGTACGATTCCTCCCTGCCCTTTCCTTGGCACTAACAAGTTTTCAGGAGAAGTGAGTGATGAGAATTATACCTTTACTTGGAGTACAGTAACAGGATTGCCAATCATAAATTGTAACTGGAAGCATCAGTGAGTGTAAGTAAACAATCTTTTTACAGAGTTTGGATACCTGACTAATTACAGCAGCCATCACCAACCTGATGTCTTCAATGCAGACATTGTTGGAATACAACTCCCCTCAGCCCCAGGCAATATGTGCTGGTCTTTTACCTCCAAATACTGCTGGACTACAACTCCCATCATCCTTGACCTCTGGCCTGAGGCTGATCTGGATGGTTGCAGATTCCCTACCCCTGTTTTAAGGGATGGGCATTAAGCATGGTAGACAAGCTGTCTTTCTGCCATTAGTGATCTTCTTATTGAAGAAATCCTGATATGGTGCCGCAGAATCCCAGCATTCTCCAAAACACAGATTTAAAAGACTAATCCCAAATTTATCCTGGTCTTTGATACCTGAAACACATCCCATTTTTTGTGATTGCATTCTTCCCCCCCTTCCCCCTTTTTATTTTATTATTCTTATTATTTTATTTTGACAAAGTAATAATCATAAATAAATAAGAATAAAAATGTGCACCCCACCACCGAGACCATTCCTTTGTAACTATTCAACCTCCCAAAATATCATCACCTCTTGTGATAGTTTGACCCCTGAAGTAATGGACATGAGGCAGGAGTTGATAATGCAGGTGAGCTGCGCACAGGTGGGCTGCATGCAAGCTGCCCGCCAGCTCTGTGGAGCCTCCTTTTATTGACACAAATATTCAAACCCAGGCAGATACATTTTGGGCTGTGACCTTTATACATCTTCCAGTCCCGAGATCGTGGGGTGGTACAAAGTTATTTTTGGCACCTGTTTCCACCGCGTCATTTCCCCCTTGCACAGTGTATGACGAAGGAGACAAAAGGTCTCAGAGACAAAGGTTACAGAAAGGGCACTGCAGACTACTGAGACTGCAAAGGGTTAGACAGAGGGCATGATGTTCAGACAGCTGTGGCTTGTCTGTGAGGGGGAGTGTGCCCTGTACCCCAAGGTCACGCATGCAGGCAGGCTGACGCTGCCTGCGGTGGGGAGTGTCCTCCCTCCGGACCCAGCGATCATCCCTACAGACCCCTTTCCATTTTAAGTCGTAGCCCACATTGGGACCTTAGGGTGAAGAGGGGGTAATAAATTAAAATCATCATCATTATCATCTGAAAGACAGGGGACATTAATTTTATTTGGGTCTTCCAGCTTCCTCCCACGGGAGGTGCTGATGGCCACCAACTTGGATGGCTTTAGAAGAGGATTAGACAAATTCATGGAGGACAGTGCTATCAATGGCTGCTAGCAATGATTGTTATCCTCTGGCTCCACAGTCAAGAGACATTGTGCCTTTGAATGCCAGGTACTGGGAACTGCAAGTAGGAAGAGTGCCATTGCCCTCAAGTTCTGCTCACGGGTTTCCCATGGGCATCTAGTTGGCCACTGTGAGAACAGAATGCTGGACTAGGTGGGCCACTGGTCCGATCTAGCAAGGTTCTTCTTGTGTCCTTCCTGACTGCAAGCCTGAGTGTTGGCAATCTGGTTGCTTGTCTGTTTTCAGAGACTCGGCGTGCTCTTACAAGGACCGAATAATGCCTCCCTACCCGATCGTTGCCTCGCTTGTCATCTTTTATTCATGTTCAGCTTGTTCCCTTCCTGCCTATTATAGTACAGCCTGAAGTACTGCTCCTTCTGAGACAGGATTCTGCTCGGGGCAGTTTTGCAGCACAAAGTGGCCAGCGCTAATCTGCAGGAAAGGAGAAGAGCACCGGGAGAAACACTCAGATTCATTGGACTCCTTTTGTTCCGTACAGGGATGCACACCCCACCTGAGGTTTCAGGCCTACCTGGAGGTGCCAGGGATTGAACCTGGAACCTCCTGCAGGAAAAGCAGATGCTCTGCCACTTTGCTGTGGGCCTGGATAGCTCAGTTGGTTAGAGCATAGTGCTCTAACCATTGTGCTCTAACCATAGTTTAGAGGTCCCAGGCCCTAAGGAAGTCAGACTATCCTCCACCAGGGCCAGGGCCTTTTCAGTGATGGCTCCAACCTGGTGGAATGCTCTGTCCCATGAAACTAGGGCCCTTCAGGATTTAACCTCCTTCCGTCGGGCCTGTGAGACAGAGCTATTCCGCCTGGCCTTTAATTTGAATTCAGCCCGATCTTTTATTTCCCTTCTCTTCCCTCCCCCTCCCCTTTTATGAAGATCACCCGCTCTGAGACCCCACAGCTAATTCTCCCCTGGCCTCCTCGCTGGCCCAAGTAGGACCAATTCAGCCAGCTAGCCCTGGGGATTATCTAATTGATTTTTGATTTTTATTGTTATTCATGTTTTTATACTGTATTTTATGCTGCTTTTATAATTAAGTGTTTTGAAGTGTTTTAAATTTGTTGTTAGCCACCCTGAGCCCAGTTTTTGAACCAGGAAGGCTGGAGTATAAATAATTATTTATTATGATAACACCAAGGTTGCAGGTTCGATCCCCGCAAGGGACAGCTACATATTCCTGCATTCCAGGGGGTTGCACTACATGATCCACAGGGTCCCTTCCAGCTCTCCAGTTCACCACAAGTCCTGTTGGTGTTAGTTTAAATCTATTGCACCCCACCCCCACCCCCAGGACTCATTTAAAAGCGTACTAAAGAGACAACCAACCGACGCATCATTTCAAAAGAGCTGTTGGGCTGAAGACTTATTTTTCTTCTTTAACCACTTTTCAGATATTTCTAGTTCAACAGAGTAACCTCAGCCCTTTCTGATTCTTCCTCGGGGGAATGAAATAGGATTTCCTCATCTTAACATGTAGCGTTCTAACCTATTGACCCTCTTCTCAGCCAGCCCACGGATGGGTTCGATGGTAGACAAGCGTGAAGGAAGAAGCCTTTTAAGACGCTGGAAATGGCTTTGCTGGGTCTATCAGCATAACTGCACTATGCTTTCCTCCCGGGAAGCTGTGAAGGGCCAGCCCACTCCCCCCCCCGCTTCTCACTATGTGTTCTGCTTGCTAGGATGGAGCAGTTAGTACCTTGCCGAATTTCCGGTGCATTAATCTTAAAAGCAGCCGGTCAGATGCAAGAGATTTCGCTCGGCTTATGTATCTAAAAACTTCCTTTCCGCCCGCATGGCCTGCCTAACCCACCCCAATCGCAGACACTTGACTTGCTCACTAATGAATCCTGGGCAGAATGCGCAGCTTCCTGCATCATGTACAGCAGCAGCATTAAAAATGAATAGTGTAATATTGATTGAGGGAGTTTCAAAGGTCAGCTGTAACTATTATGTAACCAAAACTCAGCCGTCTGCTTTGCCATACCCAGTAATTAAAGGAGAGGTGACACATGCCCAGCTTTCGTAGTGGGCCTGGTGTGTAGCTGGTATATCCGGCTGGGGTAGCATTTAGTGCAAACCTATATGTGTCTACTCAGAAGTAAGCCACACTGAATTCAGTGGGACTTATTCCCAAGTAAATGTGATTTAAAGGGAGGGAGGGAAGGAGGGAGGCTTATAGAAGGGACCCTGAGGATAATCTAGTCCAACCCCCTGCAATGTAGGAATATGCAGCTGCCCCACACAGGGATCAAACCTGCAACCTTGGCATTATCAGCATCACGCTCTAGCCAGCTGAGCTATCCAGGCTTGGGGAAGCAGGGCAGGTGGATGGTGGGAGGTGGTTTGAGGTGTGTGAACAAGCCAGGAATTCATCCGTTGCTCAGGTGTTAAGCCAAGTCATAGAATTATTTTATTTTTATATTGTAATTATTAATACCGGCTGATAGCCTGCCTTCTAAGCCACTGTCTCAAGGCTTGTTGCATATAAGGGTTAAAAGCAACAAGTATATTTAAAACAAGGCGATAACCCTAGCAAGCAGTAAAGACCCAGCTGGGGAAGCCTGTTGGAATAAAGCAGTCTTCATTTGTTCCCAGAAAGTGCAGATAGTGGGCACCTCTTGTATTTCAACAGGAACACTGTTCCACAGGATGGGGGCAGCCACACTAAAAAGCCCTGCTCCAAGTTCAGTGGAGTGAGCTTCTGAGATCTTTGGAACTCTCCTGCCGACGGCAGTGATCTACTCTGTATGTAAAAGATAAGGCGGTCTCTCATGTAACCCAGTCCTGAGCTGCACAGGGCCTTATATGTTAGTTATACAGTCGTACCTTGGCTCCCAAACGCCTTGGGAGTCGAACGTTTCGGCTCCCGAACGATCAAAAACCGGAAGTGAGTGTTCTGCTTTTCAAATGGTCTTTTGGAAGCCGAATGTCTGACAGGGCTTCCGCGGCTTCCGATTGGCTGCAGGAGCTTCCTGCAGCCAATCAGAAGCTGCGCTTTGGAAGTCAAATGGACCACCGGAACTGATTCTGTTCGACTTCTGAGATACGACTGAATGGGCCTTATATGTCAGCCCCTTGACTTTGGCCCAGTAGCTGATTGGCAGACACCGTAAATCCTTCAGGGTCTTATGCGCCTGTGGTAATTCGCTCCTGAAATATACTCAGAGTCGAGAGTGGATTTCATGCTCTTTATTCAGCTCATAGTGGTGAGGAGGAATGGAAGTTCCCCCAGAATGTCTGCTATATATACATTATTTACACAATATTACACATTATTTACACAATTACGTGGGCCCCACGTAATTGGCTAATTCCGGGATTCTTCTGTAGGCCAATCAGGTTGCAAATTCACTTCCACCTGGAGCTGGATTGGGTGGCTCCTGTGGACCAATCAGACTGCTGCATTCTGGGTCCTATTGTTCTAGGACCAGTCAGACTGCTGCATTCTGAATCCTATTCAACTCAGTACATAACAGCTCCCACGAGCAATTTAGCCACCACATTCCACAGCAGCTTCAGCCTTTGGAGAAACCCCAAGGCTGGCTCTACATATTTATTTGCTTTAAAAAAAATAATAATCTTGCTTTTCAGACGATTGCTGTCTCCCAAAGTGGCTAATGCCAAGGAGAAGGGGTACTGCAGGGAAAAGGGAAGTCTGTTTTTAAGGCCAGAACAAACTGCTGAGCTATGATTCTGTGAGGAGACATTTTTTTCCATGCCGATCTCCCCTTGCTGATGTCCTTGCCTGAATAACAATTGATGGCCCTTGTTCCTTTGAATGATGGATGGGGCCAGAATGCCCTTGCTTCTTGCATCTGCAGTCCCAGGGCAACTGTCGGTCAGAGCAGAGCGTTCTTCTGGCCAAAGAGCAGAGGGAAGTGGTCTCCCTGCAGCTGCTCCTTCTTTGGCTGGTGGAAGTTGGTCGCCATCTTGCTGTGACGTTTGCTTGGGATGCAGTTGTGGAACCTCATAGTCACCTTGGTGCCCTGGCTGATGGCAGGTGGGGGTGGAGTGTGCTGCCTTCAACTCTGAGGCCCCAGGGAAATCTTAAAGCTTTGAAGCTCACCTCGACTCTGAGGCGAACTTTATGACCCCTCCAAACCTCATATCCAAGCTTCGTGAGTTTTCCCAACGTTCCTCTCTAAAATGAGCAGAGACAGGGTTATGTAATGTGAGGCAGGCTGCATAATTTATACATGTTGTGATGATTTTCTTGGGAAGGGAATCTGGATCAGCTGCCCTGAGCGGTGTATTTACACTAGAACGTTGGGATATGAATGCTCTAATAAACAAATAAAATAAATTATGTCAATGCAGACTACCTGTTTGTTTCTTGGAGAGTATACACAGTCTAGGCTATGTGATTACGGTATTCGTTGCACCCAAAGACCCCCTCAACAGTTGCATTTCAACAGTGACCTCAATTTCTGCATTTTGTCACTGGTTGCAAACAGATCCATCCATTCTCTCTCCCTCTCTCTCTATATAAAAGAGAGTTGAAAGGAGCAAGATAGCACCATTATTTCCCTTGATGAACATCCTTCTGTCTTTTGAACTACTCTGACCTCCGTTCAAAGAAGGTTTGCATGCTTTTGAAGCAAAAGCAAAATTCTCATTCCTTCTACTGTAATGTTGGACTTCTTGCAGGTAGTAGAATGCCAGGATTCCAATAGAAAAAGGTGGGGGCAGGGAAGGGGCTTACTTCTTTTATTGCATTCTTGCACTGCTGTTGATCATCAGAAGTACAGGAATGTGCTTCTGCTGACCAACCAAACTAACCAAATATCAATGAAGATAGTTGCATCATTGGAAATCTAATTTGCAGATGGGAACTGCAACAAAAAGTTGCAGCATGGAGTGCTTCCTATTCAGGATTCCAGCCACTTCATTCTCATTTCCCCCAGTTTCCCATTCCCTCATTCTTACTGACAGCGAGCATTCTATAGCTGCTTACTATGCTCAGTACTCATTGGATTGGGGGGGGGTCTACTCCCACTTTGGGTTTTTCCCCTTAATATTTTGCATAGTTCTGCAAATGCCAAGTTTCCCCCAAGCCTGCTTACACCTTCCTCTTGTGCAAAGATTGTGCTGATTTAATGTGGGAGCTGTGCTTGGCTAAGGGTGCCGCGAGTTGTTAGAAAACTTCCCCTCCCAGAACTACAGTTCCCAGAGTTTCTTGGGCAGAAAGTCTGATTCTTAAACCACTCTGCGAATTGTAACTCTGTGAGGGAAGTAAGGGTCAGTAACTCTCAGTACCCTCAACGCACTACAACTCCCAGGATTCTTTGGGGGAAGCCATGGCTGTTAAAGTGGTATAGTAGTGATTTAAATGTGTGGTGTGGGGCTCCCTGGGGATTGGTGGGCCTCACAGAGAGCAGTCAAAGGGTCAATGTGACCTGTGGACCACATGCTGTCCACTGATGCTGTACAAGTTACTGAGAAGTAAGCCCCATTGAATTCAATGGGGCACATTCCCAGGTAAGTGGGTATATGTTTGCAGTCAGTTGTTTCTGCTGTTCTGCTGCCACCATAAAACCTTTTGTCCTTCCGTTTGTTTGCTGAAGCAATGCCTCTCCCTGTAAAACAATATGGTTGGCATGCTGTACAGCTTTTATGTCATTGACCAGTTTTTGTGTGTGTTGTTTTTCCCCCAGGGACTCCTGTTTGGTTCTTTGTGAAAATTGCTCCAATTCGAAATGAACAGGACAAAGTTGTTTTGTTTCTTTGCACGTTCAGTGACATAACAGCTTTCAAGCAGCCAATAGAGGATGATTCGTGCAAAGGTTTGTTCTTGGCTCTTTATTTTTTGGGGGGGAACACAAATGCATATTTAAAATATATACAGTGGTACCTTGGTTTGCAACCATTTTGGATTACAACCACGTCAAACCCAGAAGTGCATGTCCCCCCTTTTTTTCTGGATTACAACCCCTTTTTTTGGGGGGGGGAGGCCCCATTGGTGAAAGTGTGCCTTGGGTTACAACCTGTTTTGGTTTCCAACCGGACCTCCAGAACAGATTATGGTTGTAAACCAAGGTACCACTGTATGTATTCTGGTTTTTTAGAATTCAGTGTAACCTAATTTTGCAGAGATTTCTTTGTTCTGTCCATAGAATGATTAAGAATCAGACTGAAGTAACTACAAATCAATGTATTTGTTAAAAACCTTTATAACGCTGAGTGTTGTTAGGAGACCCCTAGTTGCCTCCCAAAGCTACAATACCCAGAGTTCCCAGAGAAGAGGGAATGATTGACCTAATAATTCTCAGGAACCTCAACAAACTTCAGCTCCCATAATCCTTTGGGGGAAGCCATGACTGATTAAAGTCGTATCACAGTGCTACAAATGTGTGGTGCAAATGTGGCCTTAAGAGTATAATGGAGAGAGACTATAATACTGCAGGGACATGGGTGGCGCTGTGGGTTAAACCACAGAGCCTAGGACTTGCCGATCAGAAGGTTGGTGGTTTGAATCCCTGCGACGGGGTGAGCTCCCGTTGCTCGGTCCCTGCTCCTGCCAACCTAGCAGTTTGAAAGCATGACAAAAGTGCAAGTAGATAAATAGGTACCACTCCGACGGGAAGGTAAACAGCGTTTCCATGCACTGCTCTGGTTCGCCATAAGCGGCTTTGTCATGCTGGCCACATGACCCGGAAGCTGTATGCTGGCTCCCTCGGCCAATAAAGTGAGATGAGCGCCGCATCCCCAAAGTTGGCCACGTCTGGAGATAATGGTCAGGGGTCCCTTTACCTTTATAACACTGCAAGTGGACAGAAATGGCATTTGCATATGCCATGGTTGGGCTCTGAGACCCCTGCAGGGCCCACCACCTCTGAAACATTTCTCCAGTGAACCAGGAGACCCCTTTAAAACTTTTCTGGCACTGAGAGAAAAGGGCCTCTGCTGATGTTTTCAAGGAGCCACCATTTGAATTTCCTCACAGTTTCCTCTGGTCTGCTCCTGGCATAGCATCTCTCCTGAGATACACTGAAGCAAAGCCAGCTGTGCAGGAATTAAATAGCTGCCCAGTTAAGGGGGCAGCAGTAGCCTGGCACACCTCACAGTACCTCCAGGATCTGTTGCTGCCATACACCCCACCACCACTCCCACTGACCTCTGGGCTACATGGTAAACTTCCCCAAGAATTGGGAGAAGGAAAGAGCAAGTAGGTTCCTAGCAGTTGTGTGTGTGTCTGTGTGTCTCTGTGTGGTGGGGGAGCATTCAGGAATGGGGAGCAGGGAGAGACACTGACAGTGGGGGGGGGGGAAATGTGCACACCTGACTATCCATCAGGGTGGAGAGGGAGAGTGACCACAGCCATGGGAAATGCAGCATATGACATTTCCAAAGGCTCCCTTAAACCAGGAATTGGTCCTGCATGTAGAATAATACCAATACCAATACCAATACCAATACCAATAATTTATTTATATCCTGCCCATCTGGCTGGGTTTCCACAGCCACTCTGGTCAGCTCACAGCATATATAAAAACACAACAAAACATCAAATATTGCAAAACGGAATAACCTATACACAGTGGCGTAGCGTGGGTTGTCAGCACCCGGGGCAAGGCAAGTAATTTGCGCCCCCTAACCCGTGGATTTGCGCCCCCTAACCCATGGATTTGCGCCCCCTAAACTGTGGATTTGCCCTAACCCCAGATGTTGCGCCAGGTGCGGCCGGCCCCCCTGCACCCCCACGCTACGCCACTGCCTATACAGGCAACAACAAACTAATAAATGTAAAGGGACCCCTGACCATTAGGTCCAGTCGTGGACGACTCTGGGGTTGCGGTGCTCATCTCGCTTCACTGGCCGAGGGAGCCGGCGTACAGCTTCCGGGTCATGTGGCCAGCATGACTAAGCCACTTCTGGCAAACCAGAGCAGCACACGGAAATGCCGTTTACCTTGCCACCGGAGCGGTACCTATTTATCTACTTGCACTTTGACGTGCTTTCGAACTGCTAGGTTGACAGGAGCAGGGACCGAGCAACGGGAGCTCACCCCGTTGTGGGGATTCGAACCGCCAATCTTCTGATGGGCAAGTCCTAGGCTCTGTGGTTTAGACCACAGCGCCACCTGTGTCCCTTTAATAAATTAATAGAAACCAACAACAACAACAACCAGTTTACAGTTACAGTGGTGCCTCGCAAGACGAAATTAATCCATTCCGCGAGTCTCTTCGTCTTGCGGTTTTTTCGTCTTGCGAAGCACGGCTATTAGCGGCTTAGCGGCTTAGCGGCTATTAACGGCTTAGCGGCTTAGCGGCTTTAAGAAAAAGGAAACAAACTCGCAAGACTAGCAAGAGGTTTCGTCTTCCAAAGCAAGCCCATAGGGAAATTCGTCTTGCGGAACGACTCAAAAAACGGAAAACCCTTTCGTCTAGCGAGTTTTTCGTCTTGCGAGGCATTCGTCTTGCGGGACACCACTGTATACCCAAATTTAAATAACCACCAACCCCAACTAAACATTTAACCAACATCAACCCAACAAAAGCAGAACAGAGGAACCAAAATTAGAACCATTTAAGACATTTTAGCCAGCTGCCCAAACCCAAGAGTTGTTCCAGCAATGTCCCAGTGGCCTCCCGGGAGTCTTTTAGCTGTTCAGGGTGAGTCTGGGCTCTGCCCCCTAGGCCAAGTGGAAATGGGCCTTGCAGCAGGGAGCTGGTCTTCCTTCCAGCACTCACAGAAGATCCCAGGTTCAATTCCTGGCATCACCAGTTAGAAGGATCATTTACTGAGACCCAGGAGAGTTACTTCCAATCAGAGTAGGCAGTATTGTATTAGGGACGCGGGTGACACTGTGGGTTAAACCACAGAGCCTAGGACTTGCCGATCAGAAGGTCGGCGGTTCAAATCCCCATGATGGGCTGAACTCCCGTTGCTCGGTCCCTGCTCCTGCCAACCTAGCAGTTCGAAAGCATGTCAAAGTGCAAGTAGATAAATAGGTACCACTCCGGCAGGAAGGTAAACGGCGTTTCCGTGCGCTGCTCTGGTTCACCAGAAGCGGATTAGTCATGCTGGCCACATGACCCGGAAGCTGTCTGCAGACAAACGCTCGCTCCCTCGGCTAATAAAGCGAGATGAGTACTGCAACTCCAGAGTCGGTCATGACTGGACCTAATGGTCAGGGGTCCCCTTTACCCCCTCTAAGGGTGGGTTTCTATATTTTTTTTAATTTAGCAGTCTAGAGAAAGCTGCCCAGTGAGTTGTTGTGCTTGGAATTTGGGAAACTCGAGTTCAGATCCCTGCTCAGCTATGAAGATGTCTTAGATGGCTTTCTAAGAGAAACAGGAAGCTACTGTTTCTCTGTGTGATGCATACCTCTCAGGATTGCTACTGTTGTTTATTGTTATCGATTGCAAAATTAAATCCTAGACAAAGCTCTCAAAGTGGTTTAACGATAAAATATGATATAAATCAATACAAATGCAATCCTTTAAAACAGGCCTCAATGAAGCTACATTTAAATCAAGACAGGAGATAAAAGCAGCTATCCACTCAATAAGTAACTAGGGAAGGTTAGGTTCTATGGCTCCTTGTGTGACATAGCTGTGATCACTGCTAATGCAACCAAAGACAGAAATTGGCATCACTATTGAATAGCTTCCTATTAAAAGGTTAGCTATTGATTTGCCCAAGTGATTGTGAGTAACTGAAGCAGATGTGTGCCTAGTTAGTGACTAGGGACAGACAAATTCACAAAAGTGAAGAGGGGCCTATTATCTTGAGATGACATAGGGGGAGACAGATGAAACAGCAGGGAGAAGCTGCTGTTCATTTCGAGCGCAGATGCTAGAAATGCTAATGTTTAAAGAAATTATAGATCTGCTGTACCCCATAAGCTTCTCAATTATAAGCTAATGTTTGGGATGCACATCACAGAGCTGATTCGCTTTTTAAAGCTGCCTATGTTCACCTTGTAAATGAAACAAATGGGAATCTGCAGAAGGACACGTACTAAATGTAGGTTCTTGAAAAAAATGTCCAGAGCAGTTACGAGAGAGGGAGAGAGACTGAGATGTAAGAGTCCTTACTCTGAAGCAAGTCCCAGCTTTGTGCAGGGCAGTGAAAATAGCCAGTATAGGAAAAAGTCATATGCCGCTTCTGACCCAACTAGGTGCCCCACAGTAGGTTGTAATGAGTCCTGGACTCTTCCATAAAAGTTTTGGGAAGGATTCTGGGCTTACTCTAGCTTTGCATGCTGCATCTGCCTTCCTGCTTCCCTTTTTAATTGCTCCTTCCATCCACTTCCATGAGGTCATTGCTCCTTGAGGGAGGGGACAAGTGGTGGCACTATAAGTAGGCATGAGGAACCTCAGGCTGGGGGGGGGAGAAAATGTGACCATGCAAGCCCCTCTATCTGGCCCTTAGGACTCAATCTATGTTCTGCTTCCTCCTCAGTCACACCTCCTCTCTTCAGGCCAGCCCCCCGGGCTTGCTTCACAATCTCTTTTTGCTTGGCTGGAATATGTCATCAAACTTGGATAATGCCTTTTGGTTGCCTGGATGGAGAGTATGTGTGTGTGTGTGTGTTAGTGTGTGTGTCAGAGAGAGAGAAAGAGAGAGAGAGAGAGAGAGAGAGAGAGAGAGAGAGAGAGAACAGAGGTTTTGATCTCTTTTGCCTTAGGCCACCAGAGGTGCCCCCTCCCCGAAGAATACCCAAGTGGGAATGTGGCCCTCAATCTGATAACAGTTCCCGTCCCATGCACCAGAGTCAAGTTGAGGGTCAAACAATGGAAGGCCTGGGATATGGGCCTCAGTAATCTGCTGTGGGGTCAGGACTGGAGAGGTCAGGACCAAAGGGTAAACCAGGAGACAGGATAAAAAACCCCAAGAGTATCCAAGGATGCAGGACCACACCAGGAGCATCTTGTTGCTCAAGCAAGGCTCAGCTGAATCGGGAAGTCCTCTTATACTATAGGAAGCCTGCAAATGGTCAGCCCAGGTTTTGACAATTCTCCCCTGTGGAGCTGCCAGGGGAGTTGCACTCAGGTCGTGCAGCAGCTGAGGATGACTGAGCCCTACCTGGAATAAAGTGTGCTGGCTGGACCAGTGGTCTGACGGAGTATAAGAGGCCTTCTTATGTTCTGAGCTGAGTTTAGAATTAATTCATCTTAGTCCAAAGGTTTTGTGTTAACTCGAATGCGGTCTGTGCTGAGTAACAGTCGGTCGTGCTCATGCCTTGGATGAGCTGTTCACTGTCGTAATGAACCAGACTTTGATTGACCGCTGGATGCTCCCAGTGCTTATCGGTCACTCAGGGCAAAAAGCCCTGAATGTGGTGACACTCCTGAACAGCAGATTAGCAAGAGGAATATAGGGATCTGCGTTAAAGCAAATCAGACCATTGGTCCATCTAACTCAGTACTGTCTACACTGACTGGCAGCATCTCTTCAGGGTTTATGGCCCTGTCTGGAGATGTCGGGGCTTGAACCTGGGACCTTCTCTATGCAAAGCATGTGATCTGTCACTAAGCTAAAGCCCTTCCCCATTGATTAGCCCTGGTCAAGGTGGTGTTGGAAACAGTTGCTTGTGCATGAGGTTTAGTGTTCTGAATGTGAGATTTGGGGATGCATTTTACTAATGTGTATGTTAGCAGGCTCTGATCCAGGGAAATGCTGAGGTTCACACAATAGACTTAGCTCTGCACAATTTTGGACTTTTCAAAAAGTATTTGAACAGCCTCCACACTTTTTCCCATGGCACAGAATGATCTAATGTTGAAATGTCCTCGTTTCAAAAGCAGCTTGTAATGTGGCAAAGGGAGGGGGAAGCTGTTGTTTGAAGAAAAAAAAAAAGCAAGTCTAAAACTGTAAACCTACATATATTTCTTTGGGAGTAAGTCCTACTGCACTGAATGGGACTTCAGAGTAAGTATGAATAGGACTGGGCAGCACCAGGTCCGCAGGTCTTTGGATCCTCATGCTGTACCACGTGGACAGAGCCTGGTTTTGTGTAGCCCCAGCCTTGGAAGTTCTTCTTCCCTTTAATGTCACCCCACTGCTAAAAATAATGAACTGTTTCGCCTGCTATTGGCATTCTGTGCTATAGTCTTAAGTCTGCTGCACTTTCATTTGCCTTCGCTGACTAATGAGAATAATCAGTCCTTGTCTATTTTCTGTGTATGGGAGACAGCCATGCCTCTCCTCGGGCTTCTGTAGTGATGTGTTGTAATAAGATTAAGAGAATGTAAACATGGATTCCTGCATTCTAGGGTGCGAGGGGACATTCTCAGTCCTTGTTCCATTATAGATGTTACTGATTTTAGCCTTCCCTCCGGTTCTCTTCTCTTCATTCTTGCTATTTTACATGCATGATGATAACTCTTATCCTCTTATTTCTTCTATAATATTCCAGCCTTTCTCTTATCTAAAACCAGGCAGTGCTATACAGGGATTGTAGTGAGATAAAGCACTTAGACGATGTTTTTTTTAGAATGGGAACTCTCATTGCTAGTGTTGTCTTGTGTTTGAAGCCATGCCATTTGAGCAAAAAGCCCCCCTTCTCTTTCAAAAAGCTGCTACTTGTTTGTATGAATCTAGAACAAATTAAAAACGATATGGCCTGTTGCCTCATCATCACACAAAGGCCCGTAAAGCAAGCCATTAGGTTCAGCACCACGGACAGCAACAGAGGTTAATACAAGTTTATCCACCACATGTATGCATTTAGGTTGCATGTCCAAGCACGCTGATCTAGAAGCAAGTCCCATTGAACTTAATGACTTACTTCTGAGTAGACATGCACAGGATTGCACCTTCAGTGTCAGAGTCAGCAAGTCTTACAGTATCATGGCAGTTGTTCATTCCTCCAATTACTCTTTGCAAAAACACAAGGAATCACCTTGTAGCTAGCTGAAAATACAACTATGTTCTACATGGCAAGCTGCTAATGGGAGTTCCTCTCCATGCAGACAGAGCAATTTTCACACAATTGAAACCTGCAATAAGACTGTAATATTAAGTGAGTTATTCCAGTGCAATCATGCAAAGAGAAGATGTAGTCTACATCATACTTCACAGTAAACTCCTAATCTCTCTCTGTGTGTAATACCTTTCACTACATGGCTGCAAACAGTGCTATATTCTGGGATGCATGGAACTTTTGTGCCTCCCCTCTTCTTGACCCTAGCCCCACCCACACTCAATTTCTGTAGCTCAATGGTAAGGCATCTGCTTGGCATGAAGAACATCTCAGGTTTAACTCCTGGTGTCTGGGAGAGACTCTTGGCTAAAAGCATGGCTAGCCGCTGCCGGTCACTGTAGACAATACTGAGCTCCAGCTGCTTTTGGACTACAGCTATCATCATTCCTGAGCACTGGTCTTGCTAGCGAGGGATGTAGTCCAAAAACATATGGAGACCCAAGTTTGGGAAACACTGAGCTAGATGGACCCATAGTCTAATTAGGATATATGTGTCCCATGTCCTTTCCCATATATTAAGAATGTTACAAAAACCCTGCTGGATCAGACCAAAGCATTCTGTTCTCACAGTGGCCCTCCAGATGCCCATGCTCCAGTAGGATACAATCGCCCAAGAATGCTCCATACTCATCTTTTGGTATACAGATGCATACTGCTTCTGATTTTGGAGGTAAATATGGCCATCTACATACAACTACATTTTGTGCCTACATTGATAGCTATACCCTCCCAAGCCTTATAAACCCAAGTATATACAGAATTATTGACATTGCGCCTCACCTACATACTTCATCATTGAATTCTCATATTCCTTGTATAAACATATGAGCTAATCCTTCCAAATCCATGGTCCTGGAAAGCAGCAAACTCACAATATATTCCGAGGGTTGGAACTCTACTTTTCACCATGCTGTGTCTCATTTGTTGGTGGAGAAAGGTGGTAAGAGCAGGGCATAGCTGCAGTTGTGCAAATTTTGGCTTATTGTTGGAGAGGAAGAGGGACCGAAACAATATAATAATAATATAATATAATATAATATAATATAATATAATATAATATAATATAATATAATATAATAATAATATAATATAATATAATATAATATAATATAATATAATATAATATAATATAATATAATACCATATAAGCACCAGGATAGAAACCTTGAGGAACAAATAAGAAATGAAATGTGACAGGAGTCGTGATGGTCTGGATGCCATCCAAACACTGATAGTTATTTCCTGTCACTTCAGTGAAATGAATAGAAGTCACACAGAATCACTGCTTGGTTGATTACTTCATTGGTTGTTTTTAATAAGCCATTATATGCCCTGTACATCACACTGTTACTTCATTAAAGAGAATCCTTCTTATTGAACACAGCAGAGTAAATGTATTAGAGCAGGGATGGGTAACCTTTCCCCCCTTCCTGTTGAGAACTGCCTTCTTGCAGGGGTTATCTGTCAGTGGACAGAGCCAGTGCTGCTACAGACACAGCTGAGCCAGAATTGTTATCTAATCTGGGATAAGGGCTGACCTTCTTCAGTTTTCGCCATGGCTACTTCAGATTAGAATTCCCACTCCCATGCAGGTCTACTCAGAATTAAGCCCCACTAGATTTCACAGATGTAATCTCAAGTATACAGAGGGCTATTTATTTATTTATTTTTGTACCACAGACAAATACTGTCCCTCTTCTGGAAAGCAAGGAAAAAATGTTTATTTCTCAAGGAAATCGGATGGGACAGAACAATGGGGATGATTCAGGATATTCCTAGAATTGCTTTGCACAATATATCTGGCTGTTTGTAATAACCGATGTGCAATTTCTTGTATCGCCTTCAGGCTGGGGAAAGTTTGCTCGCTTAACCCGTGCACTCACCAGCAGTCGGGGAGTCCTGCAGCAGCTCGCTCCAAGCGTACAGAAAGGAGAGAACGTCCACAAGCACTCCCGGCTTGCTGAGGTAACGTGTGATTATTATTGCAAGCCCACTTGAATCAACAGCGCCCGACTCTTGGGAACAGCTCACCTGAATTCCAGTGACAAAGGAGGTCTATTTGTGGGATGTTTGCTTGGAGCGAATTGGTGGGAAATCATGGGGATTGATAGGGGGCCACAAACTCCACCTGCTGCAGCTAGTGTCCCATCAGTATCTGCCGAGAGTTGCAAGATGAGCCACTTTGAGGTGTGGAGGGGCAGGGATAATCTCCACAACCACACCGGGCCTCTAGTGCCCTCTGAGTGTTATGATATCATGGTGCCAGAACAACACCCTTTGGAGACAAATTCTTCAAGCAGCAGCAGCACTGGCAAGGATGAGGCAGACTCATTCCCTGATCTATCCTGAGTCGGGTCTTCTGCGCTAGATCCTTCATCCTGTCCCTTAAACCCTGGGTCCTGAAGCAGGTGCCTCACCTGGCCTCAAATGTGGGCCACATTTGGAAGCATTGAACTGGTGCAGCTCTTGGAGCGCCTTATAAGAATGCATCTGCCAAATCTGAATGTAGCAGGTCCTAAGATTTGTTGATAAATGCCTGCATATCATTGACTTTGCTAACACTTGGAAACATTAAATAAATGTCCAAGCAGAGAGCCAGCGCATTGACTTTTTCATAGAAAGCAATGCTGCTGTGGTTCAGGATTTTACCTCTGCTTTAAGTAGGCCATATACTATTTGCTAGACAATTCCTTGCTAAATTGGTGCATCAGATTAGACTTCACATAAATTTAAACCAGGACAGCTGGTGAATTCATTGTAAATAATACAGTATGTTCTGCACATGTGAGATGCGTATAATTATTTGCCAGTTAAATACTGCATTCATTATTTTTATATCGCCGAGCCCATGTCTAAGCTCCAGTGCATTCCAGCACACTGGGAACCAGTAGATGTTGTAGAGGAAAAAGAGCATAAGGGGACTTTGAAAGGGGTCAGATGTGTTTTGGGCGCAGCCTAACTGTGCTGAGGGGCCCAAAATGCTTCTGGTCTCCTAATGGTCCTACAAATGTAGGAGCAGCACTTGATTTTAAGTCTGCAAGAGCAACTGTAACAGATACTTGGGAAAACATCCAGAAAGAAAGCTAGAACGTCTGCTGTGCATCAATCCCAACATCTTCAGGTAGGGCTGGGATTGTCTCCTGCTGGAAACTCCTGGAGAGCCATAGCGCGTCCGTGAAGACAATGCAGAGCTTAAATGGAACAATGGCTTGATTCAGGAGAAGGCATAGATATGGTTAGGATTGCTCTAGCAGTCATCATGAGCCCTTTTATTTTATTTTAAGGAAAGATGGCCCATGTGATAATTGGAAAAAAAGCATGCTGTTTTTTGTTTTTTTTTAATAGTGAAAGGCTTTTCCTCTTCCTGTTTTCCAAGCAGGTCCTGCAACTGGGCTCTGAAATCCTCCCTCAGTACAAGCAAGAGGCACCAAAGACCCCACCACATATCATTTTACATTACTGTGTTTTCAAGACCACTTGGGATTGGGTCATCCTGATTTTAACCTTCTACACGGCTATTTTGGTCCCTTACAACGTCTCCTTTAAAACGAAACAGAACAATGTGGCCTGGCTGGTAGTGGACAGCATTGTTGACGTCATTTTTCTGGTAGACATTGTGCTTAATTTCCACACCACGTTTGTTGGGCCAGCTGGAGAAGTGATCTCTGACCCAAAACTGATTCGCATGAATTACTTGAAGACATGGTTTGTCATTGACCTTCTGTCCTGTTTGCCGTATGATGTGATCAACGCATTTGAGAATGTTGATGAGGTGAGTTTTGTTTCCACTTGCCATCTAATCATTTACCAAGATCAGTTGACAGGGGAGAAAAATGGCTTTTTAAACCAAAAGTTGGTTAGTTGCTCTCCATCTACACATGTGCTTAAATAAATGTCATTCTGCCTTCCTAGGCTGCAATTGACCGCTAATTGATTGCAAATTCTCAAGAATTTGCAATCGATTCACAATAGTACTTCACAAAAGTATTTATAGATTTGTTTGTTTTACAGGCAATGGGAGGTGCAATAAGCTAATACCTCGTGAAACGTTGAGACTGAGATTTATATAATGACCTTTATTCCCCAGATTCATTAAGCATTTTTGTGCAGCTTTATTTTCTTTATCACTGTAACATATGAATGCAAAAAGTATATAGTCAAAACTGATTGAAAAAGTCACTGCCCCATGTTTGCTTGATGGCTTCTCCAGTTTCAGCAAGCACTTCATCTGTCTTAAAATATTAGGTTCAAAAGATGCCAGAGATGGCTTGCAATTAAACAGTAGCCATGTACACACACTCTTCCAGATCACATTTTAACAATTCAGAAAGTATAAGACCATGGAAAGTTTCCCATCCAGCATCGAACCAACAGCTATCAAAAGCCATGGGGCAGGAAAGCAAATAATTAACCAACTTTTTGAAAAATGCAGCATGGAAAAACTTGACGAACCTTGGTAAGGAACAAATTCTAGAGTTGCGGTGCTGCCAGAGCTAGCCTGGGATGTTTTCCCGTAGTAGGCAAAAGGCCTGGATGCCACCCCTCCTTCCTTCCTGGCCTTGCCATTGCACCCACTGCTGCCCACCCTGGCACTGCAACTGCACCCTCACCTGTAGCTGGGCCCACACTGCCGCTGCAACGCATTGGCAGCGGCGCTGGTGCCATGGGAACAGTGAGGGCAGTGTGGGTGAAGCCTTCTTGGGTCTGGCAGCAGCAGAATGGCAGGGTCAGGCGGTCAGATCTGCCACCTGAGGCCAATGGCTTGACCTCACCTCATTGATGGGCTGCCCCGGATGCTGCAAAGGGAACATCTGGCTCTGACTGCTTGAGAAGTAACTACCGGAAGAAGCAGCGACTAGATGAGGCTTCAGCTCTGGATTCTTCAACAGGCAATTCTACAGGAGAAGGAAATTTCTGCCTTCCCAGGCTACAATGACGTTGCTCAAGTGGTTGCTTGGCTGCTTGGAGTTGTGAGTAGGAGGCGGTGTCTCTGGGTCATGTTAGATTCCATATGCTGGGTGTCTTTTCAGCTGTACTATGTTGATGCCTGGTGTGTGGGTGTGTAAGGGAAGGGGTTGTAGCTCACTGGCAGAGCATCTGCTTTGCACGCAGAAAGTCACAGGTTCAATACCTGGCATCTGCATGTTAGGGGCTGGGAGAGAATGCTGCTCCCCCGCCCTGCTTCTTTGGGTCAGTTTTATTCATTTATTTTTTTAAAAAAATAATTTTTATTAAAGGTTTTCTTGTGAAGCAAAGAAATGCATACAGGCAGCCCCCTGTTTATGTTCCGAGGCATGCATGCACAGGTGAAATTGTGTAGAAGTGAAACCCATGGGAAAAACCTGCTAACACCCCCATTCTGCCCTTTTAGTGATGTTTCAATGACATCTGGGTCACTTCTGAGTTCAGCGCGATGCGCATCTACACAGTCATGCACGTATTGAACGTGCGCAAACAGGGGCTGCCTGTATAGCATACCACGTTCAATTCATAGAGTCTTTTTCACATTTCATTTGTGTTTGGTATGAGACCCTTCTGTCATAGACATGATATGGTAGGGGGAGAAGAGAGGGGAGAGGGGGTGAAGAGAGATGGGGGGTGGGATAATGATATTTCATTCCATTGCATAGTGTTTGCTCAGGGGGTTTTGTGCCAGCATCACACAAATAGGTACCGTATTCTTATATTCATAAAAGAATGCTGGTGGAATCCTGGAGAGCCATTGCCAGCCTCTGTAGACAACACTGAGCTAGATGGATAAATGGTCAGACTCAATATAAGGCAGCATCCTAAATTCCCAAGCATATACATTTCACTTGCTTGTGGGCTTCCCCCTTATTCTTGATGCCCCAGAGTTCCCTCAGAAGAAGGATTGATTGTTAAACCCTTCTAGGAGTTGTAGCTCTGGGAGGGGAATTGGGGTCTCCTAGCAGCTGTCAGCGCTCTTAACTAACGACAGCTCCCAGAGTTCTTGGTGGAAAGCCATGACTCGTTAAAGTGGTGTCTTAGTGCTTTAAATATATGGCATGAATGTGTCCTCAATAAGTGTGTTGAGTTCAGTTCTGGGACAAATCTGCTACTGCTGCCTGTTTGTTTCCCCCTGCCCAGAAACAAAACCCAGCACAGGCACCTGCTTCCAGCCCCTTTGGCTGAGTCACATGACTGACTTTTCGGTGCGGGGATTAAGTGAGCTGTGCTAAAAATGATCAGACTCAGATCTGATTTGCTGGCATGCTCTAGCAAGTAAACGAGTGAAACCTTTACATGACTACATGACCCATTAGAGACTGATTTTTCACAACACCTCAAACTTAATGTTTTCAGATCTGATCCACATATTCATCTGTGTTGATACAGCAATGGACTTCTTCTTTTTTGTGTACTGTCAGGTTCACAGTCCTCTAGAGCCAGTAGGATTCTTGAGTTTATCACTAGCTTTTTAGGACTATCCTTCTGTGATTGTGCATCACTACATCTTTGATTCATTGCTCTGGCTGTTCTCTTTCCTCACAGAGAACTTTTGTGATGTTGGAGGGTTTCGATTTCTCCCTCTGACACCAGTCAGGGTCTGTTGATCCTCCAAATATTCAGCCCCTTCTGAATGGGGCTTGTTGTTGTGTGTGTGTGTGTGTGTGTGTGTGTGTGTGAGCACCCTCTGCTTCTCTAGGTGATGCTTTTCCTTTGGTGGTCCTGAGAGGAAGATGGTGAGAAACAACACACTGAAATGCTCGTTCTGGGTGTGTGTGTGTGTTTGGGTGGGTGGGGAGGGCAGCTGCAGTGGAGAGCATTTAGATGACCAGTCTCTCAACTGAAGAATGAAATAATTTTGTTGCACACCACCCCAGTCTCTGCGTGGTGCAAGATTCCAGCGGTCCCAGGCACTTTCCCAGGGTTCGTGTTTCCTTTTGGAAATGAGGCACAGCGGAGACTGTGGTGTCTTTATGATATATGGTTTCTTTACACGTATATACAACCTGAGCTTACGATGGAGGGGTTCATAGCATTAGCACCCCAAGAAGGTCTTGTTTCTCCCATAGCCACAGCCTTGGATTCAAATAGAAAGCAATCATTGCTGTGTCTCTCTGTCTCCCCAACTTGCTGTTTTGCTTCTATGTCATATCACTGCCCAAACTCTCTACTCTAAGCTCTGGCTTTATCTGCTGAGGGAGGGAGCCCCCCCCCCGATTGCTGACTCGTACTGAGTCACTTCATCCAGAAAGCTAGCTTAGCTGTTTCGCAGAATTAGAAGGCTTGATTAGCTTTTAACACTTGCTGGATCCAGGGATTAGAGGAGTCTAGAACCCCCAACTCCTAAGATTATTTATTGCTTATTTAGTCAAATTCTTCTTTCATCCCAGTCAAAAGGGGCTCCAAGAGCAGCTTACAAATCACTTAAAAAACAGAACAAAAGGCAATCCCCTCAGGCTTACAAGCTAAAAAGGCCTGGCACTGAGGGAAAATGGATTGAGAGGGAGGAAGTAAGCAAACTCAGGTACAGGTTTTGGGATACAAGTTCCTCTAATGTGCAAAGATATAGTACAACTGTTTCTACTTTCCTGTTTACCGTATATCTATAGAATGCAGTGGCTTTTGCATGCTAGTTACAGTGCAAATTTCAGGAGAGGTAGCGCTGTCATTTGAAAGCTTTCTTTCCCCTGAAAAACCTATTTCAGGATGAGGAGACCTTCAGGTCTGGGGGCTAAATGTGACTCTCCAGGACTCTATTTAGCCCTTGGATGTCTTCCTAGGCCACAACCCCACTGGCTCTGCTTCACTTCCTGAGTTTTTTTGCCTGTTTGGAAATCTATGGCAAAGGAGCCTAAGGTAAAATTTACATTCATTGCTCTGCCCACTTTTGCATCCCCTCCCTTGTCCCCAGTGGCGTAATTAGATGCTTGGGGGCCTGGTGCGACGAGTGCATCCTGCAGCCAGCAGCGGGGCAAGTGGCCCATGGGGGCAGGGTGAGCTGCGTGGAGCCTCTCCACTGTAGGGTGGCTGAGGGAGAGGTGGAGGGCAGGTGCAAGCCCCACGCTGCTGTTTCAGGCAGCTCGATGCCTGCAGGCGCCCAAGCCACCACATCACTCCCAGGAGAGACGTGTGGCTCTGGCACGCTTCAGGCCCCATTGTAAGTGCTGGCCCCCGCAGTATGGCACCCAGTGCCAGCCGTCTTTCTGGAGAGCCAGTATGGTGTAGTGGTTAAGAGCGGTAGTCTCGTAATCTGGGGAACTGGGTTCGCATCTCCGCTCCTCCACATGCAGCTGCTGCGTGACCTTGGGCCAGTCACACTTCTCTGAAGTCTCTCAGCCCCACTCACCTCACAGAGTGTTTGTTGTGGGGGAGGAAGGGAAAGGAGAATGTTAGCTGCTATGAGACTCCTTCGGGTAGAGATAAAGCGGGATATCAAATCCAAACTACTACTCTTCTTCTTCTTCTTCTTCTTCTTCTTCTTCTTCTTCTTCTTCTTCTTCTTCTTCTTCTTATGTTTGTTGACTGAACTAAAAAGTTCCGTGAGCCCAATTTTTAACCCCCCCTCATATTTTTGTCATTTAGTCACCCCCTCTCAGTGATGACACCTGGGCAGCCCACACACGCCGCACCCCCTTCCTCCCCCACTGCTTGCCCCCCCCAAGTGTCCTTATTTTCCAGGGACAATTCTGGAATTACAAAAACCATCCCAGCTTCTGATTTGATCCTGGAATGTCCCAATTTTCCCCGCCAGTGCCACCACCACGGAGCTTGGGGAGGAGGATAAGCCATGCTTGTCCTGAGTGG